GGTTAGAGGGGACGAGCGGCCGATTTTGGACGAGTTTGAGCACCGGCTGGGATCGGGGCCAGTCTGGGAATGTGGTGGACTCAGCGCTGATCGGGCTGCAATCATAGTTCAGAGGAGCGGTTGGTGCTGACGAGTGAGACTGATTATCAGGTTTCAGCTCCGCTGACGTGTTATTAGAGCTCAGCACCGGCTGCTGACGGCTCATCATTAGAAGTTAGAACCGACCCCGAGCCGCCCCTCAATAGTCGGCGGCCGCTCGGTGCCGGCGAGTTGATAGCCGGGGCGCGGCCATCAACAGGGATCCGCACCTGGCGCTTATGGCCGGTGGTGGGGTCCGCGCAAACCCGGCGCTGACCCGACCCGGACCGGTGGCCGCGGCGGGGGTCTGTGGCCTCTGCGGTCACCGGTCACTGGCGGTCAGACGGCCTCCTGACCGCAGGGCCAGGAGGCCGTCTGACCGCAGACGGTCATTAGCATGCAGCTGGCACCTTGACGTGACCGTTCACGGCCAGCGCCGGCACTCGGCAGCTGCTGGCCAGGAGACGGCCGGTGGAACCGGCTATTGGCGAGGGAGGAGAGGGAGTCTGGCATCGAGAGGAGAAGCAAATCGAGCAAGGAGAAGGTAGCGAGCGCTGAACCGAAGAGGTCTCACTCCGCATTCCGCATAAGCACCTCGTTCTACCGATGGATGAGGATAAATGTGAAAGCTGTGTTGGCGCGAAGGGTGAACCGAAGGGCGAGGAACGTGCAGACGAGGCTCTGCGTTATGCAGACAGGTTGTCGGAGAGCTGTGTTGTGAGCAGCTGTTTGTGAGGAGGTCGCTTAGCGGCCGAACCGGTTTCCTCTCAGTCTGTTGAAGGCGGCTGCGTTCTGAGCCTGTAATGGGGCGGGCAGAATTGAGTGCCGTTGCTAAGCAGTAAGTCGGCTCGGCGTGACTGGCTCATTCTATGTGATGCTCGCGATAGGCCGTAAGTTGTTGCTAATGCGTCCGCTGTGGCGTTCGATGCACTCGCTATTTGCATAATGTCCTCGCAATTGAACTGTTGCGACCGTTCCCTTTACGAGCGACTGGGGAGCATCGATTGGGTCGAGTACGGGGAAACTATGTAGCTGGCCGGGTGGCCGGACTCGCCGCTTTCCGCCTTCCTCCCGCACTATCCGCCCCACCCCCGCCCCCGCCCGCCATTCGGTACTCACTATCTCACTCCGGTCCCCGGTCCCCACTCTCGATTGGACTGTGGTTCTATTGACATAACGCGCCATGGGTCGCGTTTGCTCGGCGATAAGCCCAGCTTCGTTCGCTCACGCACACAGTGCAGTTGCAGTGAATGGCCACGTGGCCTCATATTGCCCGGCATACTATCAGAAATGAGAGCCAATTTCATTCCTTTGTGTTTTGTTTGTAGTGGGCAGTAGGGGTGGCTTTTTTTAAGTGAACTGAATTCGATCGACACATTGATGGGTGCCGCCATTGATTTCCATAGTTCATCTACGGTTGGAATCGCATTCCCCAATAATGGGCAGCCGTCGTGTCACAATTCGAATCACTGTGCCTTGTGCTGCCTCGTCATAGTTTCTGATCACGGTAACGGCTGCCGGTCACTCCGCTCCGTTCCCCGCCTCCCACCATCACCACCACCGCCGCCGCCGCCGCCGCCGCCGCCGTCCCAGTTGCTGCCATGGGGCCTGAGTGACCTTGTGCGGCGCGTCGCTGCGCGGAAGGCCGCGTCCGCACCCCGCCGGGTCGAACTGAGCCCGGGTAACCACCGGTAACCACCCGTATCCACATAGTCGGGAGATGTAGCGAACGGGTACCGATGGACTCGCGCAGTCGCCCTGGTTACTGCCCATAACATTGGCTTCCGCGGTCTCCGCATAGTGCCCTGAGCTGCGAGACTCAGATGACGAAGCTGGATTACCGGTAGGTTAGAAGTTCTTTTGCCAAGCCCTTGTCCTAGCTCACCTATCCACAACTCTATTTAACTGCTGTGTTATTATCGTCGTCGATTATCAAGGCGTCGCATTCGCTGCCCCGCCCACTCAGCCTACCACCCACCACTTCGGATTACCGACTAGTGCTAGGCTAGCTCAGCGCCCGTTTGTAACTGCGACGGCTCGGTCTCCCATTTTCCGTGCTCCGTGGCAGCTGCGCGGCGGCCGATCCTGTATTCCCGGAGCGACTGGAGCCAGGTGGCGGCCTCTCCAGGCAGGTGGTGGGGCAGGGTGAGGCGCTTAGGCTCAGTGGTGACTGGAGACCGGCGCCCGACGACTGAGCGCGGACATCACCGGTGGCACGGTGCTTGTGCGCCAGTGGGAGTGACCGCTGTGGTTTTGGATCCATCGTTGACATTGATGTGGATCTGTCGTTAATCAGCTTATCCCGGCGTGATGTCATCGACGTGTGATGATTCGCCTGACACTTGGCCCCGCACTCACCTGTTTTCCGTGAATGAATGATTCAGGCAGCGTTGCGGCCCGTTTGTCCCGTATCTAATCCGTCTGCCTTCTCTTCCCGCATCCAATGTTTCCGTCTCTGAGTGTTCCTTCTCCGGGTGACCGCGGCTCAAACCGGGCCTCGTTCCCGGAATGCCGAACACCCATCACACTCGGCCCACGTGAGCTCGACGCACGCTGAGGGAGCTCCGTATCTCGACAGCTATCGACGGGTCGACCCTGTCCTTGAGTGGCCGGGCGGGCGACCAGACTCGTCGCCAGACCCGGGGGCGCGACTGAGCGACCGTGTCTGCCCGGCGCGACACGACGCGCGCCGTATCTCGCCGCGCTGCGCCGTTTTTGTCTGTCCTGTCTGGTGGCTCCGCCGGTGGCGCCGGGTGATGGGAGCCGCTTTGTGGCTCCGGGCTGCGGACGGCGCGTGAGTTCTGGGCTGCGGGCTGCGTGGAACCAGCCCGGACCAGAGGCGGGACGGTTCAGTGAGTCGGGCTGGGCGAGGCGGCAACTCGCGAGGCGGCCATGGGAGCGTCTTCCCACGCGGCGTCGCCCTGTGCGTGCGCCATGAGCTGTGGTTTCCAGCGGTTATGTTCGCCCTTCGCTGGACACCGACGGCCCTGTTATTATCTGTGGCAGGCGTGAGGCGCGGCGCCGATCGGGCTGCTCGTCCCGACGACTCTGAGGTCGTTGGCTCCGGTGCCGGCTGTGACCTGCTGCGGTCACGTCCCAGTCGTTTAGATCGAGGTCACTGGTCGCCCGACTGAGTTCTCGGCCAGACCAGATGTCATGGGAGACAAGTGTCCGGACCTCCTTCACCGCAGCACGCGCCGCTGTGGTGGCGTCTGCTCGCTCGCATCCTCCTTCCAAGGCCCCGGTCTGCCGGCGGCGCCGCGGACCGAGCTGGGGATTTGGAGGCTCCCATCGGGGTCAGGGGTCGGCGTCATCCCCCGGTGGGACGTGGCTCGGCGGCCGACGCCGGCCATCACTCGGGGCGCCATGACACGTGGCTGGACTGAGGATAAGATGTCTAGCTAGTGGGAGGGGAGCTTTAGTGAGGTTTTAGGCCGGCCATGAAACGGGATGGTAGGTGATGATCCTAGTCTATTGCGGTAATGTGGTATTGCGGTGTGCTGTGATAAGAGAGTGAATGTCGGGCTGTCCCCACGGTGACGGACTGAGCACGGGCTGACCGCGGATGAGCACGGACTGATCATGGACTGATCACGGATTGGTTCCGTGATTGAGGCCGGGTCGGAGCCACTGCCGGGGGCGCCGGCGCCCACCATAGGCCGGCTGATGAATAGCCACCTCCGAACTGGCTCCGCATTCCATTGTGGCCCCGTCGGCGCCCCGCCGGGCCCGGCCAGTCGGCGAGATAGGGCTGGCCGTCCGAATGGAAATTCACAAACCGAGCAATACGTCAAAACGTAATCTCGCCGATCCGGAGGGTGGCCGGTTGAAAATGAGGCGACGCTCGTGAAGTTGATGAGTTGCCCTCCGTTTTTTGATGACGTGTATGAAAGGAAACTCATCAACATTGCTGAGGGTTTGTCGATATAGAAAATGCAACCCGATCTGGCTTTATTATTATGATATGATTATTATCCGCATTAGCATCGATAAGTCCATATGACGGAAGTAAACATCAACCTATCGTTTATGATCTCAGGCAGCTTTTGCCAAATTTTCAGGGAACTCAGATTTGTTTTTCAATAGAAAAACACAATTCTAAAGAATAGTGTTTTAACTATTGTCAACAAACCTTCGGTTATCATATTGTATTTCTTGATCACAATTAGTCATCATTATGTGCAAACAGCCCAGTGGTGACGTGACACCTCTGCAGCTTTGGTCTATAAGTAATCTGTGTGTCGCCAGCTCCGCCCCCTATTCTATAGCTGTGTGTGTGGGAGTCTGCAACTGTGGTTTGATCATCCCCACTGACCTCGCCTCATTGTGTGTCGTTACAGGAGTGTGGGCGAGCTGTGGGACAGAGAGGCAGCGACCATAGACGGGCGTCTGGCCGAGACCGGGGACAGCAGTGGTCGGTCGGCAGTGGACCTCCCGTGGACCTCCTGTGGACAAGAGAAGATCCAAGGGACTGCGGGCAACATCAGAGCGAGACAGCGACGTCTGATCATCCCAGTCGTGATCGAGAAAAAGTCTGATCAACCCGAGTGCCAGTGACTGTTCCGAGCTCGGCAGTTGCCGAGTGAACAGAACAGCCAACAGGAGAACAGTTGCTACAGTGCGCTACAGTGAAGAACGAGCGAACGACCCTCGATCGACTATTCCTTTCGCCAAGTGATGTCCCTTCACGCGCTGTGCCTCTGGTGATCGCTCCGCCTAGCCGCCGGGTTAGGCCTCGCGTCCAGTGTTCGCCGTGAGAGCGCCGGACCTCGCGTGACGCGTGACTGAGCGCGCGTGCCGCCGTGTGACGCCGATCGTCACGCCGTTCCTTGACCTCTGGTGACCGGTGCCGTGACCTCCCGTGACCCCTCACTCTCCGCCGCCATGTCTCAGCGGTTCAAACTGCGCTCGTTCCTGCGCAGGACCATGAACAAGGTGGCTGCGCCCAAGGAGAAGGAGCGCAGCAAGGAGCGTCTGGCTGACGAGCGGCCGCCCGGCGCCGAACACGCCGACGTGCATGGCGACGTGCACGCCGGCGTCGACGAGGCCTCCGCGTCTCTGCCGTCGCTCCCGACGGGCGTCGACGATGGTCCGCCGTCGACGGACGAGACTCGACTGGTGGACGAACGCGCCGCCATGGAGAGAACCGTCTCCGAGCTGGTGCACAACGTCGAGGGCAAGAAACAGGAGATCGCCGCCCTGAAAATGGAGGTCAAACGACTCAAGGTGAGTCCAGTCGGGGGACGTGCTCTGATGAGGGAATCTGAAAGCTTCATAGCTGGTGCGCCCTGTCAGACCAATCGGCGTCATTCGGTATCCTGGAAGCTGCTAGACACTGGGTGGAATTTGGGACGTGGTATGGATGAGATTGCTAATGTGTAGAAAGTGGGATGGAATCGGCGGCATGTCGATGGGTCGGGCTCTGAGCAGTTTGGGTCCGGGAATGGACGTGATGGAATCCTTGTTCGGGTGGACGTTTTTGGTCTGGGCCTAATGGGACACGCTCCCATGCTGTTGTCGCAGGGTAATGCTATGCAGGACGAGCTTCGTCACCAATAACTATGTATAAGAGAGAAACAACTGGGCGCCGATGACCTTTGTAGTCCGTCCTCCGGCCTCCCCCCATCCCCAGTCTCCCATCTCATCATGGGTAGAAACAGCGATCCAACTTTCTGCTGACTCACAATGCATAATGCATACATATGTATGACAACTGAATTTGTCGTTGTCGTGAGCGTTGTCAATGTTATCAGCATTTGTGGATGCCCAGGGAAGCGTGCTACAGCTCCTCTACCCCGACGCGCATGGATCGTGTCGCTCAGAGTACCAAAGGCCGTGCATATCCCGAGGTCAGTCGTGTAAACAGACCTGTCTGACCGCCGGTACCCCGCCGCACGCCACGTGTCACCACCGTGACATGGCTGCGGTATCGGTTACACGTCCCGTGCACCAACCGCCGCGATCAGCTACAATGGTAACCATACAGGGCGTCAGCCTGGCAGAGTTATGTGTGTCCGCGATAGTGTTGGTATGGGCTATCGGCCGTGGCGCCCAGCCATGTAATTTTAAATCCGTGGTGTCAACTGACCGGACCTGGCACAGTCAGCCGTGCGAGGGTCGTGACGGTATCTCGGCGCACTTGTCTCCGGTTTAAAACATGGCACGCCCCGCCGGTGGAGCTGGGTCACTTCCTCATTCCGAGCCGACGGCGCTGCTGACCCGGCCATGTGGCGTGCTGTCTGCTGCTCTCCGCCGGCGGCGGCCGCTGCAAACGGTAACTCGAGTGGTCGGCTCGGTCTGCAGATCTCTCCTCTTTCTCTCCCTCTCCCACCCTTCCTCTGTCTCTCTCCCTCCCGTCTCATCCGTCTTCGTTCCGAGCGGACCCTCTGCAGCGCTCTCCGCCCGGCTGCCCATCCCCACCGCTCCGTCTTGCTCAGTGCTGCCATTATCCCATCTTTGTCTGGCGATCATCGCTCGCGAACAGCCTGCAAAGTGCAACAACACCGTCTCGCCCCTCCCTCCCTCCCTCCGCTCCTTCCCACGTCTGGCCCGCCCACCCCTCCCCTCCTCTCTCCTCCCTCTCTTGCGCTGCTTGGGATCCGCGATGTTCACACTATTCCCGCAACGTTCTCAGCTGCATGTGGACTTATGTTTTCTTATATAATCCATGTTTATTCTGAGTAGTCTTTCAAAGTTGGCCAGTCTTCCGTGCTTATTTCCCAGAAGTTTAGTGTTCCTTTCCACCTGACAGTGCAGCGTTTTGAATTAATTAACTCAGCGCTGTCTGCAGCACTGTTCCTGGTCCGTTGATTATGAATTGGACACGGACCACCACGTGTCTGCGTCGCCCCGCCCTCCCGCCCGCCGGCCGGTACCGCCCCCTCCCTCGTCGGCCGTTCACCGGCGATACAAAGTGCAGTGAGTGCAGACTGCCGAGTCCAGCGGGAGTTGTTAGAGACGTGGGCGCACACTGTTTGTCGATGACAACTTGGCTTCTGATCGTGAGACGTTTGTTGCCGGGGGAGGGGTTGCCGGGGGAGGCTGGCAACCGGTTCTTGTTTGAAGGTCCATGTATAGATATGGTTACGTGCATGACAAGTTTCGATATATGCACTACTTTGTCACTGTCAGAAACGTTCAGCGCTCGGTCGGTAATCTAGTTAGGAAGATTTATTGTCTTGCTTCTGCATAATAGCAGCATGATGGAAGATTGAAGCTAAATATAGCCTCATGGGCTACATATTTTATTACATCCACGGCCGGTGGCAAATTTCCCTGAAAATTGTGCATCGTCATCGTTTGACCCTCTCGATAATCCTGCTCAACCGGCGATGAAGATCACTGCCAACACGACTTTCCGTGAGGGGTGCCCTTCCAAAAAAGAAGCACCACAGTTCAGAAATAGCACACTACGATTTCGGCACGTCCATCCCCTGAGCGAGTATTGCGCGGCACTGTTCGTGGCTCGGCCCGAATTCGGCCAGCGACACGCGTCGGCATCGCATACCAGCGATTGCCGCCGTGGACGTAACCATTTGCGATAGACGAGTTTGTCCCTTGGGGCGACACGCCGGGGGGAGAGGGGCGGAGAAGGGGCTGTGACACAGTTGTGGCTATTGTGACCATATATCGCCAGCGTTTCACTCCGTGATGCAAAGTTACGAGCTTGCAATGCCCGTCACAAACCACAATAGCAGGATTAGGATTTTAGACGGAACTGTAAGCCGTTCTTTGCTCTTATCCAGTGTGACTGATCTAAAATTTACCATGTGTCACCAGACGTTCAGGCGACCATGTGTCACTGCGTCACATTAGACCGAGTCACCGAGTACGTCGTGGCGCCGCTGACTCAGAGGGCCCTCTCCCTGTCCCTGGCCCCGGCGCGGCCCCTCTCCAGACTGGTTTCGGCTCCTGCCGGGCGGCCGCGGACCTCCGAAACAGCCCTCCGTATTGATTGGACCGACTCCGAACTGAAGGGCACGCTCCCCGAGCCTCTGACGGCGGCCCGCGTGGTGGCAGGGCGACTGTGCCCTTATTACTTTGGATTCCGGCAAAATGGGGGAGCCGGTCCGGGCCTGACGCGGACGATTGAGACGCGGCCGAAGGGAAGATGACGGATGATGGTGGAGAGAGACGAATAAGGGGAGACCTTGGGGTAGGGGCGAGAGAAGGGTAACGTAGACGCAGCCGACGCCAGAGAAAGAATGGAACGTCTGTGGGGAGCAGGTTGGAGCGAATGTCCCCCGTCCGTCCGTGCGATGACTGTGATTGTTTGTGTTGTTGGAGCGCTAGGGTTGCGGCCAGCAGACTGCCTGCCGAGTCTGCATCCTATCAGCTGGAGAGCTCCGGCTCTGGTGCGAGTCACTCGTCGCCTGCCCCGTCAGTGATTGCAAACTTTGATCCCGGGTCGGGCCACCGGTGCTGGTGTGAGCTGCGGCGCCGCCGAGAGGGGCGGCTCCATTCGGCTAATTGATTAGACGCCCGGTACGAAGTCATCAAGGGTTATTGATGATGTGATCCTGCCGGCGGCGGCGCGGTGCAGGATGCATCCGGTCGCACTTAGCGCGGCTTTCGATCTCTGAAATCGACCCTGTCAAAACATTGTGAATGAATGCAAACAGTGTTGACCGACGGACGGACGGGCGTAGCGGCTTTAGAACCCTCTGACTCTCGCGGTATGTGAGTCTTCATCGTCATCTCAATCACACGCTGGATGACGGGGCTATCACCACCTCTGTGGCGCTCTGTCCCGGCTCCCGTGCAGAGCTCTCCCCGTCGGTGACACGTCATGAACGGCCGGTGGACCGCCCGGGGGGGGGGGGGCACCGATGTCTGGTGATTGATGTGGCTGCCGGCCGCCGCCGATGGCAGTCGCCGATGACGCGATGACGGCGGCGGGACGTCATCACTCTGAGGACCGCTGTTGATGGAGTGGGACACAGCCGTGTGGGAATGCCGGCAGAGGTGTTGAAAGTCAGGGACTGAAGCGTGGTATTGGCCTGATAGCTGCTGACTGCGTGTGATTGATCTGCGTTTGATGGAAGGGATTTCAGCATGAAAAGTCTTGGAAACTTGTGAAGCTGCTATGTTGTAATGATACTGGGTCGGCCGTGACGTAACCAGCGTGAGTCGACACCGAGGATGTGCGTGTGGAGCCTGGCACTTGCGTGACAGTTAGTGTCACAGCCGACGGCTCCTGGGTGTTGTGACGACTTATACCGTCTCGTAGGCGGGGAATTATTCGGCACGTGTCACACCTAAATTCGGAATCCTCCTTTCAGCGTCTGATCTTTAAAGAAGTCGGAAATAAATCAGAGTCGAGTGTCCGAAATGAGTCAAAAGTCTACGAATTCGCGTTTCACAGAACGCAGCAAGGATTGGTAATACCTGGAACCTGCCTTTGTAGCCGCTGGCCCGTAGCATACCTTACCTCGTCATATCGCTCTTTCATTTGCTCGATGTTTGAGCGGGTCTGCTGGGCTCGGTCGGCGCCACCCATGGGTGGTTCTTTCCTGCCGGCGATCGTTCTAGATAACGATCGCTCCGCTAGTGCCCGGTGCCCGGTGCTTCAAACTAACCTGTCTCACGCTGCACTGCCGGCGGGTTCGCCGGCCCTGATCGCACCCTGTTTGACGGTGTGGTGGACTCTGGACTTGCTGGCCGGCTGATGGGCGAGGGGAACTGATTGGAGTACCTAGGAGTGGCAAATTTCGTTGCCTCATCGCCTCGGTGATCAGTGACCACCTTTATCTTTTATCACCACACTCTTGTTTCGATTAGCTGCAGTAAAGCACCCTCTTGTGATCACCTTTGCACGAAGTCGTGCGGCATGTTTCTTCTGCAAGTTTATCACCTATAATGGCATCATTTACACCGACAAGTACCGGTAATATCCTATACACTCGACGCCCAGCGGAAACTGATGCTATTTATGAAGTCTGAAGCGCTCTGGGAACATCTGGTGCCTCCTGCACCCCTCCAGTCCCACCCCTGCCTAGCGCGGCTCTCTTCCTCTACCACCCCTTCCCTTGGAGTACGGCTCCCTCTTTCCTCCCTACTTTTCTCTCTCCCCCGGTAGTTCCAGGAACGCAGGCTATATCGGCCATGGACGCATCGTTTCTCACCCCTCCTCGAGCTCGCCTCTCCCTCCAGTGTGCGTGGTTTGGCCAGTAGACTGGTCCGGCCCCTCGTATTCCCAGCGGAGTGGTACGCTGTCGGTACGCAGT